TCATGCGATGACCTAAGGTCATTTGTGGGCTATGTCGAAAATACAATTGCACAGCAGTTTTCGAGTAGATGGATTGACCGAATTCCAAATCAAAGCACATCATCGGGTAACCCATAGGCCGTAGTAACTTTCCTTAGAAACCGCTTTTCGATATGTGACCCCGTTTGACCTCGGCAGGTCAAAATGTGCAAATAAACGACACTCAATACGTCGCAGCCCGAATTCAGCCCAGATTCGGGACACCTCCGATCAAGCTGAAACTCGCACACAATGTAGGCCATGACATGCCCAATCCACAGTCCAAGTCATTCGGTGGTACTCCCAGCCGTTTGACCTACAGAGGTGAGCAAAGGTCAAGTGGCCCAAATTTGCACAGCAGATTGTGGCCCACCCAGTAGAGCTAGAGCGCTAAAAATGGCACCAATCGACTCGCCAGCATCTAATCTTACTTTCCCATCACTCATTTCACCTCTCAAGGTCATGCAATGACCTAAGGTCATTTGTGGGCTATGTCGAAAATACACTTGCACAGCAGTTTTCGAGTAGATGGATTGACCAAATTCCAAATCAAAGCACATCATCGGGTAGCCCATAGGCCGTAGTAACTTTCCTTAGAAACCGCTTTTCGATATGTGACCCCGTTTGACCTCGGCAGGTCAAAATGTGCAAATAAACGACACTCAATACGTCGCAGCCCGGATTCAGCCCAGATTCGGGACACCTCCGATCAAGCTGAAACTCGCACACAATGTAGGCCATGACATGCCCAATCCACAGTCCAAGTCATTCGGTGGCACTCCAAGCCGTTTGACCTACAGAGGTCAGCAAAGGTCACGTGGCCCAAATTTGCACAGCAGATTGTAGCCCACCCAGTAGAGCTAGAGCGCTAAAAATGGCACCAATCGACTCGCCAGCATCTAATCTTACTTTCCCAACACTCATTTGACCTCTCAAGGTCATGCGATGACCTAAGGGCATTTGTGGGCTATGTCGAAAATACACTTGCACAGCAGTTTTCGAGTAGATGGATTGACCGAATTCCAAATCAAAGCACATCATCGGGTAGCCCATAGGCCGTAGTAACTTTCCTTAGAAACCGATTTTCAATATGTGACCCCGTTTGACCTCGGCAGGTCAAAATGTGCAAATAAACGACACTCAATACGTCGCAGCCCGGATTCAGCCCAGATTCGGGACACCTCCGATCAAGCTGAAACTCACACACAATGTAGGCCATGACATGCCCAATCCACAGTCCAAGTCATTCGGTTGCACTCCCAGCCGTTTGACCTACAGAGGTCAGCAAAGGTCACGTGGCCCAAATTTGCACAGCAGATTGTGGCCCACCCAGTAGAGCTAGAGCGCTAAAAATGGCATCAATCGACTCGCCAGCATCTAATCTTACTTTCCCAACACTCATTTGACCTCTCAAGGTCATGCGATGACCTAAGGTCATTTGTGGGCTATGTCGAAAATACACTTGCACAGCAGTTTTCGAGTAGATGAATTGACCGAATTCCAAATCAAAGCACATCATCGGGTAGCCCATAGGCCGTAGTAGCTTTCCTTAGAAACCGCTTTTCAATATGTGACCCCGTTTGACCTCGGCAGGTCAAAATGTGCAAATAAACGACACTCAATACGTCGCAGCCCGGATTCAGCCCAGATTCGGGACACCTCCGATCAAGCTGAAACTCGCACACAATGTAGGCCATGACATGCCCAATCCACAGTTCAAGTCATTCGGTGGCACTCCCAGCCGTTTGACCTACAGAGGTCAGCAAAGGTCACGTGGCCCAAATTTGCACAGCAGATTGTGGCCCATCCAGTAGAGCTAGAGCGCTAAAAATGGCACCAAACGACTCGCCAGCATCTAATCTTACTTTCCCAACACTCATTTGACCTCTCAAGGTCATGCGATGACCTAAGGTCATTTGTGGGCTATGTCGAAAATACACTTGCACAGCAGTTTTCGAGTAGATGGATTGACCGAATTCCAAATCAAAGCACATCATCGGGTAGCCCATAGGCCGTAGTAACTTTCCTTAGAAATCGCTTTTCGATATGTGACCCCGTTTGACCTCGGCAGGTCAAAATGTGCAAATAAACGACTCTCAATACGTCGCAGCCCGGATTCAGCCCAGATGCGGGACACCTCCGATCAAGCTGAAACTCGCACACAATGTAGGCCATGACATGTCCAATCCACAGTCCAAGTCATTCGGTGGCACTTCCAGCCGTTTGACCTACAGAGGTCAGCAAAGGTCCCGTGGCCCAAATTTGTACAGCAGATTGTGGCCCACCCAGTAGAGCTAGAGCGCTAAAAATGGCACCAATCGACTCACCAGCATCTAATCTTACTTTTCCATTACCCATTTGACCTCTCAAGGTCATGCGATGACCTAAGGTCATTTGTGGGCTATGTCGAAAATACACTTGCACAGCAGTTTTCGAGTAGATGGATTGACCGAATTCCAAATCAAAGCACATCATCGGGTAGCCCATAGGCCATAGTAACTTTCCTTAGAAACCGCTTTTCGATATGTGACCCCGTTTGACCTCGGCAGGTCAAAATGTGCAAATTAACGACACTCAATACGTGTGTCCTTTGCACACGTATTGCAAAGACCTTTGCTGACCTCTGTAGGTCAAACGGCTGGGAGTGCCACCGAATGACTTGGACTGTGGATTGGGCATGTCATGGCCTACATTGTGTGCGAGTTTCAGCTTGATCGGAGGTGTCCCGAATCTGGGCTGAATCCGGGCTGCGACGTATTGAGTGTCGTTTATTTGCACATTTTGACCTGCCGAGGTCAAACGGGGTCACATTTCGAAAAACGGTTTCTAAGGAAAGTTACTACGGCCTTTGGGCTACCCGATGATGTGCTTTGATTTGGAATTCGGTCAATCCATCTACTCGAAAACTGCTGTGCAAGTGTATTTTCGACATAGCCCACAAATGACCTTAGGTCATCGCATGACCTTGAGAGGTCAAATGAGTGTTGGGAAAGTAAGATTAGATGCTGGCGAGTCGATTGGTGCCATTTTTAGCGCTCTAGCTCTACTGGGTGTGCCACAATCTGCTGTGCAAATTTGGGCCACGTGACCTTTGCTGACCTCTGTAGGTCAAACGGCTGGGAGTGCCACCGAATGACTTGGACTGTGGATTGGGCATGTCATGGCCTACATTGTGTGCGAGTTTCAGCTTGATCGGAGGTGTCCCGAATCTGGTCTGAATCCGGGCTGCGACGTATTGAGTGTCGTTTATTTGCACATTTTGACCTGCCGAGGTCAAACGGGGTCACATATCGAAAAGCGGTTTCTAAGGAAAGTTACTACGGCGTATGGGCTACCCGATGATGTGCTTTGATTTGGAATTCGGTCAATCCATCTACTCGAAAACTGCTGTGCAAGTGTATTTTCGACATAGCCCACAAATGACCTTAGGTCATCGCATGACCTTGAGAGGTTAAATGAGTGTCGGGAAAGTAAGATTAGATGCTGGCGAGTCGATTGGTGCCATTTTTAGCGCTCTAGCTCTACTGGGTGGGCCACAATCTGCTGTGCAAATTTGGGCCAGGTGACCTTTGCTGACCTCTGTAGGTCAAACGGCTGGGAGTGCCACCGAATGACTTGGACTGTGGATTGGGCATGTCATGGCCTACATTGTGTGCGAGTTTCAGCTTGATCGGAGGTGTCCCGAATCTGGGCTGAATCCGGGCTGAATCTGGGCTGAATATGGGCTGTCTTGATCAACATCTATCATTTGATGTGCTGCCTACCGACTTCACTGCGTTTTGCTGCTTCTGCTTGTTTGTGCGTGTCGGCGTGCAATGACATTTGCTGACTGTATATAAACAAGTCTGGCTGCTGGAGGTACGCATGTGTATCGTTATTTGTGATCGCACGATAAGCTTGCTCGGATATTTGTAAGAGCATGCGTCAATAAATATGATTACGATACGATATGCAATACAACGTTTTACTGTCGCTGGCAATCCCAAGGGCATGATATGTAACTCTAATGGCAGTGCAAGTTGTCAGTACACCCCATTTATTTTGGCGGTGTCCATGACTCCACAGCTTCTTCAGCCCTGGATGGATCCGGCAGGGCTAGTCGTCATGAGCGGTGGAGCGGTGGAAAGTGAATACCTGATTTATAAATTGAAGTCAACCCGCATTCATATTGCATGCATCAATATATCGCTGATCTGCCATTCTTGGAGTCATTTCATGAAGACTTCATATCATTATTGAGTGTCTCCGTTAAACGTATTGCAAAAAGAAGGGACGCTGGTATATGTGCTATCAGAGTCAGAACGATTTATTCGCTTCATTTATCATGCAAGCGTGCCGGCCTGCAACTTAGCGGAAGCACGGAATCTATAGCGAAGTTCGAGTGAATTAAACCTCGGTGGTAAAATGGAGGAGCGAGAATGCAAAGAGGATTAATCTGGCACAGTGGATCAACTTGTGGCAGAGCTGAATACACTGAAGAAAACAACCACAGCCACTAAGCCATAATCAGCACTAATTAATCCTTTCTTGCAGTTAGGCTGAACGGTTGGCTGCTTTTAACTCTTGTGAAAAAATGATTAGGTTTTACCAGGCCTCATTCATATGATTTGTTTGCATCTCAGACTGTAGGTACAGTGCGGGGGGGGCTGCTCAGTGCTCAGTGCACGGCACCTATAGAACAGCTATGCACAAATCTCTAATACATTATAATGCTGATGCTGCATCAAACGCAGTTCGAATCAATCAGTCTTAGTTACCATTTGCGAAGGGTATGGACTAAATTTTGAAACATTTAGCAACTAAGTATTAGGTCGGACGCTGTATAATCAGCTCTGCACAATACATATCGTCAACCGTTTTCCGTTCAGTGCCGTTTGCATTTTTAGTTTTACCAATGCGCTTTGGATGCTGAAACCTGATTGGTGATGTGCGGTCCCATTGCGGAACATCTGTGATTGACCTGGATACCGTGTCCATTACAGGTGATCTGTTCGACATGTTGTTACCTATGCTCAGCATCTACCAGGAATACGTCCGAAATCATTACTGCAGTCTCAAGGTGAGCTCATTTCAAAGGAAAATATCATTTAATTGAAGACCAATTACGAATGGCCTTCGTGTCATTTAGTTTATCTCGATCTTCAAAGATCAGGGTTCAAGCGTTATTTTAGTTGTTTTCTATGTCTGTTTGGACAGTATGGAACTTCCAACGAGGCAGGGGAACTGAGAACGACGGTTAGCTGTGATACCAGTCAACCATAAATCGTCAATGCATGAATAAAAATGACCAATAATTTATGATCCATTCCATTTTGAAGCCCTTATTACTTCTTATTAATCGTAAATATATTTAGCAAATGTATTTAATACATTTAGGTCCCCTGTGAGGGGCACATGGCTTCGCCGAACCCACCGTTTCACCTTAGCTGCAGTGCAGCGGTCGACCTTAGGCTGACCTTTGACCTCACGACCACCAGGTGCTCTCCGAATGCAAGCAGAACCAGCAGTTTTCGACGTTTCTGGGCCGACTAGAGGCGAAGTCCACCTGTCAGGGCCGCACGCTGGAGACCTTCCTCACCTATCCCATGCACCAGGTATGGTAATCAGTGTATGCTGAAAATCCCATGCTGCATCAGGTATGACCCAGGCAATGGGAGACAGGGCTGCACGTTGGAGATCTCCCTCACACGTCCCATGTACCTACGATATAGGTATACGGTATCATTGGCAATGACAGGACGAGGAATCAGAAAAGCACGCTAGTCTTTAACGTTATTTTAAAAGGTCCTGTCCTTATTTTTCATTTAAATCTTTTCATTTCATCCATTCATTTTTTGTCATTTTCTTCTTACCTTTAAACACTTTTTACAATGCATTTTCCTTGTTGGCAGCTCTCTCTTCTGTTATGAAAGCCATCGGGTGCGACTACAGGCATACTAAATCAAACTGTCTCGGAAACTGATACTCCGGAGATCCCTTTCCTCTATGGCGCCTGCGTCGATCTATCTCCATTATCCAGTCATCAGTCACCGTGCGACCAACAACAGCTGGTCCCCATCGCCTTAGAGCTCGAGCAGGCCTGTCTGTCGCCCCCTCGGCCGCCGTTCTGTTCCGGTCGCGATCGAACCAGCCGTCACCGTCTTCGCCTACCCACGAGTAGCGCGGGGTCGCCTCGCCCGCGAGCTCCATGACGGTTATGGCGATTCCTCGACACAAAGGGACTGTCGCTCAACACGGAAATCGATGGGAACCCGGTCCTCAGCCACTTGAGTTCGGTTCAGTGTGCAGAAGGGGAGAATTATGAACTGGATGTCACGGACACGGTCCCGACAGCTTGAGTGTGTGCTAAATGATAATCAAAATATGGATGTTAATGAATGCGTGGACTTATCTCTGACATTCACTTACCACATTGCTCTGTTTTTACCTGTCGTAGGTAATCTCTCATTTTCACTATGTTTTTTTCATTTATGATTTTAGGGGCAAACAGCTTTATATTTTTTTGCATTGAATGGGCAAATGAACGCAATGAATCTTCGTCACGCAGAATTGAAAGCCAAAAGTATAACCTATGGCCATTATATTTAATCGCTGTTTGGACACACTGACACTAAATTGAATGTAGGCTGCTTACCTCAGTTGAAACTCGAGCCAATCAGTTATTAAATGCCACATACAAGTGCAAAATCATTTATGTTTTTAGTGTATAATCATCACATTTTATCCAGTGCTTGGCAGTTAGCTATACCACATACATACACATTTCAAATGACGCTTGTCTGTGAGTAACATCGTCGCCACCCCATATCAGTGCCAGTTGGTCGCTGTTTCTGCGGCCCATAACATGTCACCGAGAATTAATGGGCCCGCCGCACGGCACAATAACGGTGTCGCTGACGGCCCTGCGGCGCGTTAGTGCCAACGGGCAGATTTATGACAATGCATGACCACAGTGCGGAAGACAGCCTGACCCCGGCTCAGCGCTGCAATGCATGACCTGAGCCTTATGTACCAGATAAACTAGGCATTTAGGTCGGCCGTGATCGAATGCCAGTCTGTTACAAATATCATGTGAATAAATAACACGTATTATTGCCACATTATACATATACCTACGGAAGTGTTGCTCAAGTGTTGTCCAATCCGAAGTACGCTTGGCAAAAGGTACACTTATTGATAAAACGAGTTTCGCAATTGTCTTGCAATAATGATAAAATACATCTGATGGTCGTAAAAACACTCCAAATTGTCCCAAGCCGTTTATAACAACTGCTATTCTTACAACAGTCATACAAGCACAACCAATGCAATGGTCAGATATTTCGCAATATACTGCAGCCTCTACCGGCTCCCGCGATAAAGCGGCCCACCACCCCGTCTCCGACCGCTGCTGTCGACGTCCGACGATCACCCCCCCCCCCCCGCCCCCGTCCTCCGCCCTGGCATATATCGTTACACACACTGCTCACCGGCCGATCCTCGGCTGGTGGCTCTGCACACTGCACAGTCGCCTCCGCTCGTCGTTGCCCTGTCCCCCTCAGCCGGAGGCCTGTTAGACAGGCAATTACCGAGGATGCACTGCTGTGTGCGCTCGGCTGAGACAAATGCAACGCAGCAGCGCGCCAACCTGTCGACTGTAGCCGGACACGCACCGGTCAGTGTCCGGCTGCAGAAAAAAGTAATAATAATAATAATAATAATAATTGGACAGGGACATGTTTGTTATTTAGTTGCTCAATATCTGCTCATGTCACGTGGACCTCAATGTGTTCGTGTAACAAAGAAAGCTTTTACAGTAAGATGTGCTGCCGAATATGGAGTAACACACAAAAGGTGTTAATTATTTGTTAATGACACAAATGATTTGACTACTTACTCGCGCACATGATGCTTCCAATTGTCTATCGACTTACGGCCGGATTACATGGTCATTAGCTGCATATGTCGTTTGGGCTGTTCATGCACGTGTATATACGTTTATGTGCCTTTACGCTTATACAATTGCCATCATTTCGGCGGCGGCACGCTCTTACCTACGAGTGTGTGACTTATTCACGGCTTGCGAAATTCTGTTTCATTTGGTCACCTATTATAGGAAGAAGCATTGCAAAACGAAGTGATTGGTTCGAAATGATGATAGTGTCTGTTTGCTTTTTTCCTACGGAAATCCACCCGTTGTATTTTTATACCTATCAACTAGAAACACTACAATTTTTTTCTTTTGCAGTAAACACAACGCGACTAACGCTAGAATAACTTATAGTGAAACCAATAGTAACTTATAGTAAACTGAAACTTATAGTAACATCTTTATTTTGGCAACTTATTAGCTGGACTTAAGGTCAATCTACTCTTTATGCTAAAAATAAATAATCTGCTACACCAAAAACCGTCCTATCCAACTTTATGCGTATGTAGTGACGTTTCTGGTCAGGATTTCAGCGGACTAGGTTGAGCTGATGTGCTATTTACTCGACTCCAATCGTACTCAAACGTCTGCCGTGGCTTTGAAATATACCTACAAATTGCTTAGGTCTCTGGGGCGGTACCTACCCACATACTTGACCCCTCGAAATGATCTTGCCGTGGCCCCTCGGACTGACCCTGTGATGTCTCCTTGAATGGATCTTGTGCCATTTCCTTCGCACGGCTCCTGTTTTGGTCCCCCTGATGAGTTCTGGTACGGCCAGTTGACCATGTCCTTCCATGAACCTTAGGCTCTTCGGAAGGGTCTTTTCATGTCTTCACGGACTACTACTACCGTGACATCTCAAGACAGTCCTTCCGGGACCATTTGGCTGGTCCTTTCGAAGGTCCTGAGATGTCATCGTCCACGGTCGTGGCTGCTCGGACGGCTCCTGTCGCTCCCTCTTGTAAGGGCGTTACCGTTGGCCGTCCGACTTTCCATGATTGTGGCTTCTGGGACGTATTCTGCCAGGCTGTTCGGCCGGCACCACTCTCCGTAGCCGCCACTCTCTGTGCCCAGTGCTCATTAGTGCTCAGAGACGGCGGCACCGCGGCGACAATATTGCACTTTTCTCCTAGACGGCGGCGCCCGGGACCATCCATAGGGCGGCACGGCCGCCAAAGGAGGCTCATTAGACGCGCCAGGACAGTGCTGGTCGATATCGGCGAATTACCGGTGCGCTCTAGTGACCAGCGTAGATCCTGGAGCGAGACAGCGGGCCGGGCGCTTCCTGGAAGGACCGTACGGCGGCCTGATGAAAACGGTCTAAAGCCTGTGTAAGACGGGCAACTGTATCCAGCAAATCCCGGCCACTGGTTTCCCGGCAACTCATGGAAACCAATCGGTCAGCGACTGGTAACAGCACGATGGCTGCCCTGAGCAACAGCCGTCAGTTCGCGTTGTCGGGAACAAAGGCGAACCTTCATTTGTCCGCCGTTGGTGCTGTTATTGCCGACTCAAGAATGTTTCCACCCTTAGAAGCAAAAAAATAATAGTAACAATAATAAAATCACAGTGAATTAAATCAGTTTTGTAAAGGAATTACTAGCTATATGTTCAAAGCAGGGAGGTATGCACGCGAAGTTAACGCCCAGGCCTGATATCCCTCTTATTCTTTCCATTTTTATGAAATGACTGGCTTCCTTTTCCACCTTCTCAAAGTGTAGATATTTCCTTGCGAGCCATGCAAACGGGCGTCTAATGCTCACCACTTCTATATTACTATTCTTCGAGGACAGTGAAAAGACCTGTCCTTTCGTTACACTGCTACTTCAGCAGACGTTCCGGATGCTCATCATTTGACCACCAGTTTCGTGGAGTCACATCAAGTACGCATGACGCCTTATGCTAACGTCCGTGGTCTCAAGTCACTTATGTCGTTCTTCACATCACCTTCTATTTTCTTCATCGTCAAAGCCTCCTGCGCTTCCCATGTTCACAGATCCCGCGCTACATCGTCACGCTGCACGAGCTGCTGTCGCACACGCCACAGAACCACGTGGAGCGCCGCTCTCTGGACGAGGCGCGTCGTCAGCTGGAGCAGCTCAGCAGGCAGATGCAGGACGAGGTAGGCGAACGTCGAGGCAACGGGGTCCGCTGGGCGAGGTAGGCGTGCATTGAGTCGCCGAGGCCCGCCATACGAGATCAAAGTCACCAAGGTCCGTTGGATAAGGGCTGAGTCACGAAGGCTGAACGAGCTCTGAGTCACTAAGGTTCGCTGGACGATGTCTGGGTCACGAAGACGACGTCGGAATTACCCAGATCCGCTAAAAGAGGTAAGCACATACTGAGCCACTAAGTCCCCGCTAAAAGATGGAGGTGCATACGGAGCTACCAATGTCTGCAGGGCTGGACTGTATCCTGTGTCCTCGACTGTATCCTCGACTAGACTGTATCCGTACCATCATTTTGCCAACCGATGGTAAGTACGAAGCACGAACATATCAATTGTCCCGAAGACTAGGTATAGATAGATGTTACGGCTGACTCACGGTGAAACGACTAACGATGAGGACTTTTATATAAAGATGTTCATCTATACCATGCTGCACAGAGAGAGAGGAGAGAGAGAGAGAGAGAGAGAGAGAGAGAGAGAGAGAGAGAGAGAGAGAGAGAGAGAGAGAGAGAGAGAGAGAGAGAGAGAGAGAGAGAGAGAGAGAGAGAGAGAGAGAGAGAGAGAGGAGAGAGAGAGAGAGAGAGAGAGAGAGAGAGAGAGAGAGAGAGAGAGAGAGAGAGAGAGAGAGAGAGAGAGAGAGAGAGAGAGAGAGAGAGAGAGAGAGAGAGAGAGAGAGAGAGGAGAGAGAGAGAGAGAGAGAGAGAGAGAGAGAGAGAGAGAGAGAGAGAGAGGAGAGAGAGAGAGAGAGAGAGAGAGAGAGAGAGAGAGAGAGAGAGAGAGAGAGAGAGAGAGAGAGAGAGAGAGAGAGAGAGAGAGAGAGAGGAGAGAGAGAGAGAGAGAGAGAGAGAGAGAGAGAGAGAGAGAGAGAGAGAGAGAGAGAGAGAGAGAGAGAGAGAGAGAGAGAGAAGATGTTAATGTGCTGCATATCAATCTCACAAAGCGACTCAGTAGATACCTGAAATTCATTATCCTAGCAACATGCAAAGCTTTGAAGTTCTGTCATCTGTACCATTTTCATCAGATCAACTTCAAACATATTTTACATTACTCCGTGGCGTTGGTACTTCCCTGCACTTCTCTGAACATACGGGAAAAGACCTGTCTCTGTACTGGATATGTTCTGAGGAGCCCATCTCTGTTCTGAGTCTGTGTCACCGTTTCTTTGATGCCGCTGACAGCGCACGTCCCGGCGGGGTCTGTCAGCAGGTCAGCGAGGCGGAGAGCATGCTGCGCCGGCTGGCGGTGGAGCGGCTGATGTCGCACGGCTGCGGCCTGCTGCACGAGCTCGCCCAGTCGGCCCAGGCCGCCCAGCCGGCGGCGCGCACCCAGCGGTCCCGCTCCATATCCGACTCGGGCGCCGGCTCCGTCACCCTGTCGCCGTCGCCGTCCATTACCAACCAGTCGCGCTCGCTCTCCTGCTTCCACCTGGAAACGCGCAAGGTGTGCTCGTCGTTCCCGCGCGTCTCCATCGACTTCCCGCGCGACAAAAAGGAGCTGTTCCTCTCGGAGGACAGCGACGATCCGTGGAACAAGGCGGCTGGGGCGCGCCGCGAGCGCAGCCACAGCACGGTCAGCTGCCAGCCTTCGCAGGAGATCGCTGCCGCCCTGCAGCGACACAGACACTCGTGCCAGATTTTCGGCAGGGGCGATGATGAAGACATCCAGCGCATCAAGAGCCTGCGCAAGTGTTCGGTGGGCCCCTACCTGGCCGTGCCCTCTGTGATGATCAGTGACGCCGCCGTGCCGCCGGGGCCCTCCTCGTCGCCCAGCCTGCGCTCCAGCATTTCGTCGCAGCCGCGAACCCCGCGCGGAAGGCGCTCCATCACGTTCCTGGACGCGGTGGCGTCGCAGCCGCTCTGAGACGACGGGAAGCGACGCGAGCCGAACTCTCGTCAATTATTGATGCACGGCTTCGCGGTGAGGCGATATAAATGCTCAGACACGTGGCGTGTGCTGGTTTTGGCAGCTGGTGAAATGCGCTTCAGGACTGCTTCGTTTTGTGGAAGCCGGGAAGACTGAACTGAAAGAGGAACTCACTTTTTTAAACCGAAAAGACCTATTGAGGTAAATTTTTGCTGGCTGGCTTGCGCACAATTAGCGCTTCGTATAATGCAAATGGACGAACAATTAAAATAGATGATTGGCATTGTTAAAAGCCGTCAGTGAGGGATATTTTGCATTAAAATGTCAGTCGCAGTGGCTTGTGGGCAATGGTATGACTTCCTGACGCTCGTACTGATGTAAAATTGTCTCAAACTGTGTTTGTAAATTTCGAGCAGTCGCTGAGAAAGCTGTGAGTGTCATTAATTCACATCTTGCCAATTGTCTGCGGAATTTCGAGTGGTGACGACAGGTTATAGGTCAGCGAACGTTCTCATCATCGATGTCGAGCTTCGTGTCAGTCGAGTGCTTATGAACATTGTCGTCGAATGACAGGCTTTGTGGATCGTTACCGGCTTTGTGTCAACAGCAGGTCGCCGTGCTCGGCGCAGCTGTAAAGCCATTGGCCATCGATCCAGCCGATATGAACGGCAGTTCACAATGACCATACCGGCCGACAACATAGTTGCTCAGAACAGAATGTGGTCGTTAACAGGGGCTACAGGAGCTGTCAACGTTTCTTGTTGTTGACTTTATTACCAATGGAGAAAAAACTAACGTAAATGTTCAATTAAACGTCTTAGCAGTGTCATGGTGGTCCGCCAATGCCCTTGGGCTAATACGCCGAAGCTTTTATAAGTGTATTTTTCTGTGTTGATTGTCCATGCCAACTACGCCAGCGGTTTCCGCAGGAGCGTACATACGGCTGTTGGCTTGTAGCCAAGTGGAGAATGCTCATAGGTCTGGCGACGTGCGCCATGTTGTCGGTGAGCTGTGTAATGTTTTTTACGTGTGCAGGAGGCGCCAGATACCGGAAAGGCCTTGCTAGGCCCGGTGAACTGGCTTAACGCCGCCGTTTTCTTCCAGCTGGGCCGCGACTGGGTGAATTTGGTGTGTCTGCTTCGCGCTGGTGAATGTTTATAGTAATGTGGCCGGTTCATTCGCAGCTTGTCAATAGTATGTTAGAATGGCGCTTTTCTGTTCCTTCCTGCAAACCATAACAACGCTCCCAAAGGTAACAGAAGAGGTGTCGACATGATGACACCTTCGGCGGATGACACTTGCAAGTGCACTGAGGGAAAGATGACCCTCCCAAGTGTCATGGACCAAGAAGAGTTGTCTAAAATTTCATTTCTTAGAATTCTTCGGGAATCCTTTTTAATCCCTTCCGGAATCCCTTCAACGAGTTACATCAAAACTCTGTCAGAAAGATACTATAACTCTTTACGAACTCCTTCAACTCTACTGAAATCTTCTTAGACTCTTCTTTAGCTCATGACGAATCATCCTTAGACTCTTATAAGACTACCCTTCACTCTCGTAGAACCCTTTCAGCATCTACCCACTGAGAATTCCGCGCCTCTGAAACGCCGAACTAACGTGCAACCTCAGCTTATTGCTTAAAAACAGCATCTTAGAAAGGACATATCAGACTACATAGAGACGACATCAGAAACGACATGTGAGCGCCTTAACCCGCGCCCCGCTGGGCTATTCAGCCATACGCGCCCTGCTGGGGGAGGGGGGGGGCAGATTCTGCCCCCTGTCTAACTTCCGAACCGATGGTCGTAGAAAGACGAGGAAAACGCCAATTGAAAGCTCTTAACAAGGTGGATCTTAAGAGCCCAATTTTTTTGCTAAAGTAGGTCAGAGGTAAGGTCAATGTCAGGTTAAGGCCGTATGTAGGTAGTTGCCGAAGAATCGACTGAGACTGATTGCCCAAAACGTGTTCTTAGGCTACCAAGACAATATACGTTGCGTACGATATCATTCAAAGGTAAAGGTCAGGTCAGGTCAGGTCACGTCACGTCACCAAAAACAAAATATAGAAAAGGGCATATGTGCGACACATGTTTTATGGGTCCTTTTATTCATAGAATTCAATAGGCACACTCAATAAGTGATATGGACCACCTCTGGATGAATTGCAGGTCAAGGTCAGGTCAAGGTCAGGTCAAGTAAGGTCAAATTTTGAAGTTGGTTGTTAAGGCCTAAAAAGATGTCTATCTGATGCAGTTTTTCACGGCCAATCGAATGGTGCTATTTTTGTTTCCTTACGAGGTCTAAAAGTTCCAAAAAATCAATATTTTCAAAACAAAATGTGTTTCGTGACGTCATAAATTTCTTAACTCCCACATTTTTTAACCGATTCTTCTAAAAATTGGTATATAGGTGCACATAGACCACTTCTCTGACATGTATTCCGATTTTTTCGATAAACCGAAAATTGTGGGTTTTTTAATTATTTTCCCAAAATGTTAGTTTTTTGTGGGAAAAACGGCCAAAATCCAAAACTTTCAAAAAACCGAGATATCCATTTGATAGACAAAGTAGAATCACGTATAACCTTTTTGTTGCGTCTTGCTTCCTTTTAAAAATGAATATGTTAGCGGCGTTTGAAATTTTGCCGTTTTTGAGGCGAAAATGGCGAACATGACTTCAATAAAACGTCATTTTCTCAAAAAAAAAAATTCTGACGGATTTCGCTCAAATTTTCAGGGAACGTGTCAAATTAATGTATGACAAGGTACTGAAAGTTTGACGTCGCTGGCATAACGCGTTTAGAAGTTATTGGCGAAAAACGGGAGGAGGCAGATTCTGCCGCCCCCCCCCCCCCCCAGCGGGGCGCGGTTTAATGGAAACTGATAATGAAAAAGGATTTTTGTCATGGTACACAATCCCTTTCCATTATGCCTGTCACCCAGCAGCTGTTATTTATTCACCACATTTTATAAGGCAAAAGGGCAAAAGTGCTGTTTGATATAGGGTAACAGCGAGAGCGAAAAACACGGTGCCAATGTGCACTGACCACTGCACTGGCCCGAGGGGCGCAAGGCGCAGGAGAGTGCTGTTGGTCAGGAGGGCCCAATGGGCACCAGGGATCAGGAGGGTGAAGTGAGTAGGATGCTGCAAGTGGTCAAGAGATCGATGGTCGCCAGAAGGCAGAAGGCACCAGTCAAGGGTTAGGGGTCCGATGAACAGAAGGTTGTAAGTGCGGTATCTGGCCTGAAAGTACCAGTTGCAGTGACCGTCAGGACGGCACCATGAACCAGTAGATAGCAGATGGCCATGAGGACGCCAGGAACCAATGTGGCACCAACTTGGTGCAAGTAACCTTTTAATTGCTTATAATTTATTTTAATAGTTACAATTAATAACGACCAAATTTTTTATAAGCTTTTGAGTTAACCCGGCAGTTGCTGGGGTATTTCGCCACCCACCGTTTGCTGGGGGGGGGGGGGGCGTTAAACGCCCCCAGCCGATAACTCGAGAACCAATAGGCGCAGCGAAACGCACGAGGCGGCAAACGAAAGAGCGCGACGAGACGCTTCAGATGAGTAGTTTAAAGTTGAATTTTGAGGTCACAGGTCGGGTCAAGGTCAGGTCAAACACCTGAAATCGGGCTTTCAGTAGCATGGACTTCAGGACTTCGCAATGGGCGCCTCTCGCCATAAACTCTGTCAAAACGGTGCACAATCCATCTTATAAGGCCTACAAGAGTGTCAGCTCCATATAGGGGTCAGTCAAGCATAGGTCAGGGTCAAGGTCAGGTCAACCGGGTAGGCACATATCCCCGAAAATCAAAACTGATATTCGCAGCCTGTGACGCATGTTTTATAGGTAATTTGGGGCGTAGAACACGATGGTGACATTCATTTTATCATATGTGTACGTGTTTGACTCAAAAAGTTCAATTTAAGAAATTCATGTATCATGGTCGTGAAGTAGTCACGAAAAATTGCCAAGATTCAGTTCAAGATTTTGGAAAATGCGGAACGATAATCAAAAATCGAAGATAGCCATTTGATTGATCATGGTATTGGCAGTCTAATGGCGTTTACGGCATGTCTGTATGTCTATTCTGTGATTTTATATAATTTTTTGAACATATGCCGTTTTTGGTCGAAAACTCAGAAATCATGACGTCACTAAAACCTCGATATCTCAAAAATTTTCCGACCGATTTTTTTGAAACTTTGTCACAATAAACTTCAATCAATTCCCTACAGGTACTTAAAATTTGGCGCGCCTGCGGCGCGCCGTTTTTATGCTATGGCCCGGCGAAAAAAGTGGGGGCGTTTAACGCCCCCCCCCCCAGCAACTCGCGGGTTAAGTGATAACGTCTCATGTGTTTGAACTTTGATTTAGACAATGGTAGCCACCACTGTAATTATATGGCATGGCCATATGTGATAAATATTTTATTTTTACCCATCCTGGTCACAACAAAACCTTCAAGCCACAAACTTGTCCTCGTTTATTCATTCACTTCTTGACCGCAACCCGATATCCTGTCTGCACGTTTGCCGTAAGTAAACTTCACGTGTATGTGCCCCGCCCCCGTCTCCAGTCTGCAGCCTGTCCTCCCGTGACATCTCCAGTCCGATCCCCATCCAATACGCCACTGATCTACAGGTATCTTTGACCTACATACTACCGATGAGGTCACTGATCTACTACTGGTGACGTCACTGGTGCGGATCTGTCCGTCTGCGTGTCCGCCAGTTGTGATCCCCCCGCGGGACATCGTCGCCGCCGCGTGGCTGTCCGGAGCCGGCCTCGTGTCTGTTGTGCCGACCGGCCGGGTCGTTACCGGTCACGGTCTATATCGGTCGGTCCGCCGCGCCGGTGGGCCCTGTCCTGAGGCACGTCTCATGTCGCCGGCGCCATGGCGGCCACGCGGTCAGACTGGTGCGTCTGGGGACGAAGGAGGTGCGCCCACATCGACCGAGAAAGGCGGCCGAGCGCCGCGGCCGGGTGCCGTATTGATCTGTCTCTCTCTCTGCCGGCTACCTGTTGCACGCGCCGGCGGCAGGCCGGCGCCGCTCGACAGACTGCCGACGCCACCTGTAGAGCCACTGGCGGTCACGTGATACCACCTGTGGAGTGGCGGGCTAACATGTCGATCGGTCACGTGACACAAACGGTGCTTAGCTGAGATCAAGGTTGAGGTCACATGATAATCGATGTCTCGCTTGAGCCAAAACAATACTGAATCAGAACTTGTGATGATAAATCGACCCTATTTGTTCGATATCCGCTCTAGGGATACAAAATGTTCAGTTACTGCCCAATGACGTCAACAATGTAATTAATTATTACATAATTTTATAGGGCAATTAGCACTTAAACCCTAACAACATTGAAACCTTCCAGATGTCAGCTTAACACTCACCAGTCAATGCAAGGTCTGCAAGCATGGCGATCTGTTTCCCTTTGGCGGGGCACAGGAGGTCGAAACAAATGGAACGCCATGTTGCCGTGTATTTGCCGCGACCTTAGGACGGCGCCGGTGCGGCTCGCATTAGCCGCCGAGCGACGGGAAACCGAGCGAGGTGTGGCAATAAACTGCCCCAGAGACTGGTCGATGAAGACGCTCGGGGAACACGGAGACAAAGCCGACAAAGGTCCAGTCGCTGTCTGTCGGGCGATAGCTGCAGGCAGCAGCTCGGTCGGACGGTGTCGTGGGAGTGAAACAGAAACAGACGGCCATTCTGACACAATAAATGCTGACTAGAATAGCTTGAATAACCTGAGGGAAATTGTTTAGTGAGGTCTTGGCAAACAAAACATTGTCGATCTCGGATCACGATTGTGTCTCCAAATGCCGAAAGAGATACCTACCTGCCTGTCTACTTGAGCATTTACCTACTTGGCATCCTTAAAAATCAGCGCAGTTTTTATGGTTTTGCCAAGAGCTGAAAAGCATAAATTTCATCAATAGGTAATGCATGACAAATACTCACATCAGCGACACGAATTTAAAAGTAATGCTCTCCATCATATCTTGCCAATCCCGTTCTACCTTCCGCTTGCTACAGTATAGGAAGCTGTTTACTGAATAAATCGACTGTCGACCCGCAGCTTCACCTATTTTTGAACCAATGGACGCTTCCTCGTCTGTTTGGGGACGGCGCAATTCATTTTGATATGCATTTATAGATTTGCGACAATGTTTCAACTTTTAAGGT